AGTCTGAAGAGAAACATTAAAAAGGTTCACAACCCAAGGACTCAAGGACCTCTCAGCAGTAGTCTCAGTTGTTATGTGTCTATGCGTTTTTAACTTCACAGGGGTTTGTTTAGAGCTAAAATTGAGTTTAAAAAATACACAGTTGTGATCACTCAAATGTAGATCCTCAACAAACACATTGCCAATGTTGAGGTCCAAGGAAAAGACAAGGTCCAAGGCATGGCCTTTTAAATGGGTTGGACCAGAGACGTATTGGACAAAGTTAAAAGAATCAGATATAGATAAAGGTCCTAGAGTAGGTGCTCACTCAACCTACTCTAGGATAGATTAATTTCTGATGTCTCGCTCTCTGATGAGTCAAACTATTGGGTCCTCCATTGGTAATATTGCTGTAACGGATCATGCTCCCATTGACCTTGTTCTTTCTGGTAATGATAATATTAAACCGTCACCTAGGTGTCGTCTGAATAACTCATTATTGAAGAATGAGGGTCATTGGGAATGTATAAGGGAAATGATGAAGGAGTTTTGGGTGTGCAATGTGGGCTCTGTTGACGATGTTGGATGCTTTAAAGGCCTACCTGAGGGGGCGCCTTATCCAGTATAGCTCCTTGATTAAAAAAGCTGAGAGGGACAAGCTGATGGAGCTGGAACAGGATATCAAGGAGCTCGAAAAACAGCACATGCTGCACCCAGAGAGGGAATTATGGAACAAATTAATTAAATTTAAATTTGAGATGAACAGCATACTGCAGAAAAAAGCTGAATATGCAATGTTTTGCCTAAATCAAAAGTATTTTGAACAAGGGGAGAGAACAGGTAAAATGTTGGCACACAGGGTTAAGCAGATAAAATCTAGCAACCTTATACCATCTATTTTTGATAGTAGTAATAATAATAAGTTGACCACCAGTAAAAAAGAAATTAATGATGCTTTTACTAAATTCTATCAGGAGCTTTACACTTCCAATGGAGGAACAGATGTTGTCAGATTTCTTTTCTTCTATTAAAATTCCCAGCGTGTCCAAAGACCAAAGAACTGTATTAGAAGGTAAGATCACACTAGCTGAAGTTAAGCAGGCAATTTGGTAGCCTTAGATTGGGTAAATCTCCAGGCAATGATGGATTTCCATCAGAGTTTTATAAGGTGTTTGTGAGTGAATTAGCTCCAAGACTACTGTCTGTGTATCAAGACGCGTTTCAAAGGGGGAGATTACCACTTAGTATACAATCGGCAGTGTTCACGTTATTAGACAAAAAAGGGAAAGACCCACAGCATTGTGGGAATTCCCATCCAATTTCATTAATCAACGTGGACGAAAAGACCAAGATACTAGCTTTGAGGCTTGAGAAGGTTCTTCCTTGCTTGGTGCATAGGGATCAGGTCGGTTTTGTGAAAAACAGAAGTTCTGCAGATAACTTACATAGGATATTGCATATATTCTGGAAGAGCAGGAATAATTTAGATCCCGTCGTCGCCTTCTCCTTAGATGCAGAGAAGGCCTTTGATAAAGTTGAGTATCCCTTTCTGTTTTATACGTTGAAGAGATTCGGTTTTGGTCCTTTTTTCAGGCAGTGGATTCAGGTGGTATACACAGATCCAATGGCTACAGTTACTACCAATGGGATAATGTCACCCTCCTTTTCATTAAGTCGGGGCACTAGACAAGGTTCAGCCTTACCACCTCTCATTTTCGCCCTGTTTTTGGAGCCTCTGGCTATTGCACTACGTGAATGTAAGCAGATCAGAGGGGTGGATATGGGTCAAGAAGAACATAAAACTTTTTTGTATGCAGATGAAATTTTATTGATATCAAGTTACCCAGAATAGGCGGTTCCTGCAATCTCCTCAATTATTGATTCTTTCTCTGCAATTTCTGGCTACACCATAAATTGGTCTAAGTCCGAAGCTATGCCCATTTCTAAACTGTGTCCTCCAGCCATTAGGAGCTCATGGCAGTTCAAGTGGATGCCCGAGGGTTTGACCTACTTGGGGATTAAATTGACCCCTGGTTTAGATAACATAATGCAAGTAATTATCTCCCCAGTGATTCAAAACATTCGTCCGCTTTTGCAGAATTGGGTCAAAATAAATCTGTCCCTTCTGGGCTGAATTAACCTGGTGAAGATGATTATTACTCCTAAATTCCAGTACTTTCTCCATATGTTACCTATAGCAGTCCCACATAACTTGCTAAAGCTTTATAATACATGTGTGGAGGGTTTTGTGTGGGCAGGCATAAAGTCATCTTTTAATCGGTCCAAATAATATGCTGTTAAGGACAGTGGCGGGTTGGCATTGTCCAAGATGGTCTGGTATCATTATGCTTTCTCTCTCTCTCAGTTAGTTAAGATAAATAACTCCCCTACGGAGAAGCCGTGGGTTGCGATTGAGGGAAGCCTTGTGGCTCCCTCGTCTTTAGACGCCTTCCTCACTCAGAGGGGAAGACCAGTACCGTCTAAAGATCCAGTATTGGGTTTCATACAAGAGACCTGGTTTAGAGTTCACCAATTTATCAACACTAGCCCCTTTCTTACCTCTAGAGCCTCTATCTGGTATAATAAGAAAATATTTTTTTTTCTTCATTTCATTTTATTTGTTCATTTCAGGCACAACAAAAATACATATATTAAATATAAAGTGCACAAAACAAAAAACAAAAATTACCTGAAAAGGAGTAGGACGAAGAAAACTTATTAAATCCCACCCCTATACTCACTCATCAACAAAAAACAATAAGCTTCCCACAGCTACGCCCATCGTTGCAACCAAACAAACCGTCAACAACCCCGGGCACATGCAAGCATCTCAATGGCAGCTCGCAACAACAAATAGAACCTTCATAACAGAATACAGAATATATATTAATTATAAATTGCGTTACCACAGGTAACAGGCAATAATAATTACATAGTGACAAACACACATACATATATATTAATTGGTAAGAAACCGGTCAGGTGGGAGGGCTGGGCTAGGGCAGGTATGAATCAGGTGGGGGATTTATTTGGGCAGACTGGCATGAAATCATTTGCGGAAATCAGACAAGAATTTAATCTGGATGCAAGGGAAATTTGGAGGTTTTTTCAAGTTAGACACTGTATTAAAGCCATTTTGAATAATAACCCAGACCCTCCATCTAGTATTCAGGAGGTGTTTGCAGCTCTGGGTATCAGTAGAATCAGGGCATCCAAATTCTACAGGATCTACAGAGAGGCACACTCTCCCAATTTGGAGGGGCTTAGGCAGTGCTGGGCGAAGGATCTGGGAATTCAGATTTCAGAGGATAGTTGGAAGAAGCTGGTTTCATCATGGTATGTTTGCTCACCTGAAGCACAGTCTCAGCTTATCCAATACAAGTTGCTTCACAGAAATTACTGGACTTCCAGTAAATTAGTCAGGTTGAAGCTTGCTGACAGTGACACCTGCTGGAAATGTCAGGAGGAAGCTGGGACCCTAGTTCATATGTTGTATGCATGCCGGAAAAATGATTATTTGTGGGACGGGATCATTAACTTGGTGAAAGATATTTTTAATCTTCTTAATTGTTCTAAGTCTCCAGATTTGTGTGTCCTGGGTCTGTTACCTGACAACAGTATCCTCTCTAGAAGACAGGGACTATGGATGCGTCTGGCTTTCATAACAGGATGCAGGATAATACTTAGGCGCTGGAAGTCATCTAGCCCCTATTGTTTCAGGGAATGGTCTGAACAAATGTCCAAGATGGCATTATATGAACAGGTTACGTATAGAATTAAAGGGAGAGAAGATATTTTTGAGCAGGTCTGGGGTCCCTTTTCGTTGTACATAGGCCCGGATGGCTTGGGGATAGAAGCTCCTCTTGAGTCTCTCTGTCCTTGACTGAATGATGCGGAACCATCTACCGGATTGCAGAAGTTGGAACAGTTTGTTGCCGGGATGGGACGGGTCCTTCAGTATCTGTGCTGATACTGAAGGACATTTTCATGTCCTTCCCTTCCCTTTCATGTCCTTCCCTTTTCATGCCGCGCCCCCCAAATGGCACGGCATGAAAAGGGAAAAAACAAAACAACGCTTGGACACTGCTAGCACAGGGCGCCCACACAAATGCAAAGCAGGAGATGAAGCATAGCTGAATATGTTTCCAAACCAATTTCATTCTAAGCCAAAGACTAGAAAATATGGTGAAGCATATCTTCCCTTTGGTTTCACCTGCACAAGTGCCAAGGTAGGTCTCCCTGCATAATTGGTTTCCCCTGCGTCGAGAGGGCTGGGTTCTTCAAATCACGGACAAACAGTATCCCACAGTTGTTCATGTGTTTAAACCCATTTTGCACAGAGAGGCATTTTTTGAAAAATGTATTGATAGAAATGTTGAATATTATTACACAGGAAAAAAATAACAACTACATGTAAAATAATTACACCGTGACGCCTCTGCCTTTCTAAATAAAGGTACAGTAACTGCATGTGTATGTAAGCATGTAAATTCATCTCATGTAAACAATAACGTGGCGCACAGCGTGACGTGGAAAAAGGCACATACCTTTAACGTTGCGTGACAAACTCTGTATTCCTTGTCCACATGTAAACCCAAAAAAGGAGTTTTAAAAAATCTCCGTTTTCGGTGATTCCAAACGCCGTTTACGTGTAGACGAAACGGCTGCATTTTCAAAATCACCCGTGTACGTGTGGACGCAGCATAAAAGAGTTAGTCGTTTATTCTTACTACCTGCAGATTACTTGTATTTGCTTAATTGTTTACTAAATGTTTGAGGTGTGAAATAATAATGGAGCAAAATATGGGTGTGTGTGGTTGGAGAATGTGCTTGTGAGGGGGGGGCGAATATTTACAAAAAGGGGGGCCCAGCAAAAAAAGTTTGGGAACCACTGCCCTAAGTCAACATGAGCACACACAGGTAAATGTTTAATTTTGTGCCTTCCCGCTGTCATATTACATGGTACAACCTGTACAAACTAAAACACAAACATTAGACTCTGGCTTGCATGTTTTGTCTAGAAGGAGCTTAGTGTTCAGTCATGTTGTGTTTCAGGTCCAGGCCTGGCGTTCATTGCATACCCTCAGGCTGTAGCCATGATGCCCCTACCTCAACTGTGGTCCATCTGTTTCTTTGTTATGCTCATTCTCTTGGGTCTGGATACACAAGTAAGACACACACAGCTTTGGAACATTGCATTTATGCTTTGAAATTTACTCAGTGTGTTTTGTCCATTCTGCACAGTTTGTTACCATGGAGGCGGTGATGACGTCCTTCACTGATATGTTTCCCAAAGTGTTGCGCAGGACCGGCCGAAGGGAGATTTTTCTCCTTCTCTTCTGCCTGATATGTTTCTTCTCTCAGGTTGTCATGGTTTCTGAGGTTTGTATGTAATGTATCACTGCCAAAAAATGTTTTGGAAATGTATGTGTGGGTCTGAAAGAAAATATTAAATATTACATATCCTAATTTTCAGATTTTAGTAACAAAACTAAATGCATACAAAATAAATATCTGTGACATTGTCTCTAGGGAGGGGTGTTTGTGTTCCAGTTGTTTGACTACTATGCTTGTAATGGAGCCTGCATCCTCTTTCTATGTGTGTTTGAAACTCTGGCACTGGGTTGGATATTTGGTAGGTGTGCTCTTCTTTTTATATCTCACACTAATGATGTCGTAATGATGACATGATCAGGGAAATGTTCTCATATATAGAAGCAAATCTTGCAGACACTTGTGAGGACATTATAATGGAGTCTTTACATGACTAATTATGACTCTTTTGGCTGTCATTTAACCTTTATGTAAAAAAAATACATCCACAGCGTTCCTATGGGCTCAAAATGTGTCATAAATATTTTGTACTTGTAAATCAGTTTTGTATGTGTAAAAAGAATTTGTGTGTGCGTAAAAAAGATTTGTATGTGTAAAAAGAATTTGTGTGTGCGTAAAAAAGATTTGTATGTGTAAAAAAGATTTGTGTGTGCGTAAAAAAGATTTGTATGTGTAAAAAAGATTTGTGTGTGTGTAAAAAAGATTTGTGTGTGCGTAAAAGAGATT